CATCAAAATATCACAATTTTTTCCTGATCACTTTGGACCATTTAAAATATTTTTCCTAATTTTCCTTATAAAGGTATGCAGTTTTAAATGTCTAAAATATATTTTCCTTGATTTTTCCATTGTTATAATTACAATAAATAAAATAAAAATCATAAAATGAAATATTTGTTTCTCTAAGTTCTCTGAACTCAGAGAGACCAAAGAAAAATATAAAAAGTATTTTTTGAAATTATATTATATTTTTTAATTTAAATAATCACTAAAAAATAATTATAATAATGAAAGTATAACTTAAATAATTATGAAATTTGGTCCATGTGATCCTCTAACCTAGGTGAACCTCCAATAATTTTCCTAAGAACAGAAACCTTACTTTGATTAATCAAATGAATTAACATTGAAAATCCCTATTTTTGAGTAAAATAAATTATAAATATTAAATAAAAATTAGAAAATAATAATTTCACCTCTAATATTTTAATTGACCCATGAGTGCTATACTAAAAAAAATTTGAAAGTCATTTGAGTTGAATTTAGCTAATTATGAAGTGGAAAGCCTTAGGGGCAAAATTATAACTTTGAAATTTTGATGCCCTAATTAAAATTTAGGTTAAGTCAAAAGGTAAATGGGAAATATTGATCATAATGAATACTCTTGGATATTTGAAACATAAGGGTTTAAGAAGTAGAAACCAACTTACCACTTTTCTACAACAAGGGTAAAATTGTAATTTCCCTAAATTATTGAGACTTGGAAGTTAACCGAATTAGATGATTATAAGGTAGTAGGCTTAAGCTAGGAAGATAGTAACTTACTCATTTGAAGTCCCCGTAAATGTGATTAATGCAATCTTTCAATGAGAATTAAATCCACTTAATTCAATATCTTTGATTATTGTAAATCTACCTTGAACACTTGACTTAAGGGCATTGTAGTGAATTAGACCTGATTTAAATTTGCTTAATGAGGCTTAGAAAAGTGAAAGTAATATAATCATGAAAAACTTTAAAACACTATGAGTCCAACTTTAATTGTGAGCCCAAGATCCTTAATGGCTTGAGCTTGCCTTTGTGGGCATCCACTTACATAACTCTTAAAATAAAATATCAAGTGAAAGTCTAAGTACCCCGCTTATGGGATAGTTAAAATATTAAGGTTCATTTAGCACAAGGTAGATTAATCCATTGTATCTAAATTTAACTTTGGATGATCAATTGAACAACATAATAAGTTTAAATGAACTCGAAACGGTTTAAGGGTTCTAAAAGTTGTTTAGAGTCATGCTCTGAATACTTTTATAATCTTTTGGATATTTTTAAGGAAAACTAAACTTTTTGTGCTTTGTTCAAGAAATTCATCTATTAAAAATTTTAGGGACCCACATTGTTATGCTTCGGTACCCGATAATTCACCTGAGTATATAGAAATGCCCAACACTACTTATCTGAAAACTTAAATCCTGATATATAGAAATGCCAAACACTACTTATCTGGTAGCAAAGACTCAGGTACACATTTACATTTTATGCATTGTAATTTTATTTATTTACCTTACAACATTTTCTACCTGCATTTATTTACTTTACATGCAAAACTAAACCAAAACTAAAAAAAATCATTTTTTAAAAAAAAATAAATTTACACTTTCAAAATCATGAGCGAACATAATACACTCCTTTAGGGTTTACATGGATTTCTCAGATGAGGTAATCTACATTTGCTAACAGGAGTTCTCTGGTTTAGATGAGCTTAACAACTTATTTATACTAAGTAAATTCAAGAAAAATTGTGGTGCTGGAATGAGGGAACAGTAGGATCCTAACCGGTGTCGCTCCCATCAACTTTAACCCCTCTAAGGACACTGAAACAACAACAACAAGACATGTCACTTAAGCTGTAAGATCTTAAACCTTGAACCCGGAGCCGTCGCAACGAGGAGCTTGGAGTTGATTCTGTGGGCAGCATGATAAGAATGTACAAAAGAACAACTTCGAGAAAGCAAACAGATCTACAATTAGGAATGTTTCCTTATAAATAAATAATAATTCATAAGGTTTCAAGGTAGTTCTAAGGTTTCGAGGTAGTTCATCTAGCACGAAATAAATCCTCAACTTATCTTTAGGTCTTTGCACATCCATGTTGTGTAATATAAGCCCAAACTTGTTTTATGCTCCAATGTTGTCGTTCGTTACGACATAAACTCTCCTATCTTGCCGGCTATTTGTATGACCATGTCATGCAAGTGCAAACCCTAAATAATAATAATTGGCATGATAAAACATTTAATAATCTTTACTCAAAATTGAAGTCAAACCATAGAATAGCAAGGGAAGTCCCCAAGGTTTGCCTCAGGATCTGTGACATCCCCTAGTTTTCTCCCTTTGGATTCCGAAAATAACTGTTCCTATTTGATCTTTCCCATTTGGAATTTCTTCGCCCGACCTTGAAAACCCTAAACTTCAAAATTCTTGAAGAAAATACATTCTGATCTAAATCGAAAGTTTTCCTAGGCGGTTTTGATTTTCTAAGATGTGACTAACTATAGGGGCTTGCCTTACAGAAAACTTTGAAACCCAGCTTAATATAAACCCTGTCTAATCTTTTATATTAGATAGGGGAATTTGTCGATCAACATAAAAGTTTTATAGACTAAAATAGATGTTATAAATTCTTTAATTCATTTAATTGAGTCTCACTATCAAGTAATGTATCTATTCTTCGGGATATACGCATCCATTGTAGCGTTGTGCTCGTTTAATTAAACTAATGCAAGTATGAAATCAGTTCGGCCTTGTATTTTTCAAAATTAAAATGCTGCTTTCCATATATATATATATAATTAAATAATTAATTAAATTAAATACACTTTCCCATGTTGAGGACCGATAGTGCCATGTATGTAATTCGAAGAAAACATTTCCATCTACAAATCAAGCATCCTATTTCATCCATTTTTGAAATTCTCACTCTAACATGTAAGGTAGTGATAAAATCCCATCCTATATTTAACATTTGAGGAAATTATTTACAGGTCACTAGACATAATACTATGTACAGAGGAAGCACCCTACTTCATCCAATTTCCAAATTCTCACTCAAACATCAATGGAAGTGATAAAACCTCATCCCAAATTTTTCATGTAAGGCGATTGCTCACAGGGCACCTGGAACATTGTTATATACAAATGAAGCGCTCCCTTTCATCCATATTTGAGATTCGAGCACAAAAAAAAATAAAAAATAAATGTCATTTTGTATTTAGGCAATTACAAATAGGGCAGCCAAAATAATGCTATGAACAAATCAAGCACCATACTTCATCCACTTTTTAAATTCTAACTCAAACATCAAAGAAAATGAAAAAACCCCATCACATATTTCTGATTTGAGGCAATTACATATAGGGCACCCCAAACCTTGCTATCAACAAATGAAGCACCCTCTTTCATCCAATTTTCAAATTTTAGCTCAAAGAGGAAAAAAAAAAAATACAGTTTGTAATTTTCAATTGAGACAATTAGAAACAGGGCACCAGAAACAAAGCTATGAGCAAGTCAAGCACCATTCTTTAAATTCTCACTCAAACATCAAAGAAACTGAAAAACCCTATCCTATATTTCTCATTTGAGGCAATTACATATAGGGCACCCCAAACCTTGCTATCTACAAATTGAACACCCTCATTCATCACCCATTTTTCAGATACTCGTTAAAAAAAAAAAAAATACATTTTGTAACTTTCAATTGAGCCAACCGCAAACAGGGCACCCGAAAAAATGCTATGAACAAATCAAGCACCCTACTTCATCCATTCTTCAAATTGTCCTGAAGTGATAAAACTGCATCCCATATTTTACGTTTGAGGCAATTACATACAGGGCACCCAAAACGTTGCTATTTATAAATAAAGCACTCTCTTTCTTCTATTTTTCAAATTCTAGCTCAAACAAAGAAAACTAAAAACAGTGTAATTTAGAATGTCACTCAAACAAAGAAAAATTAAAAACAATGTAATTTAGAATTTAGACAATTACAGAAAGGGCACCCAAGACAATGTTATGAACAAATCAACCACCCTATTTCATCCATTCTTCAAATTCTTATTCAAACATAAAAGGAACTGACAAAATCCCATCTCATATTTTTCATTTGAAGCAATTACATACAAGACAACTCAAACAATGTTATCTACAAATCAAGCACACTTTTTCATCCATTCCCCAAATTCCTACTAAAAAAATAGGTGGAGATAGAACAACAGTCTACATTTTTCTTTTTCTTTTTTTCGCAAGATCTAAATCAAAAATCAACAAATCGCAAATAAGAAATAAGAAATTCACGAATTTCAAATATCACAAACGACTCAGAACAAACTGGAAACGAGAAGCCAAAAATCGCATAAAGAAAGCCATTCAATAAAAAATTACCACAGGAATAACTTACAAAACACAGTAACCAGAGATCAGAGGGATGGGGAAGAGGAGAAGGGTAACGCTAAGCGTGAGAGGGAGAGAAGCACGAGAGAGAGGTACCAAGGTTTCGCGAGAGCAATTGAGAGAGACGCACCTAGGGCATATGAGACTTGAGAGACCCATGAGGTCGCGTGCAACAGTGTAATAGATATGCAAAGGAACACGCGTCGCTGGGTCGAACCCACAACCGCGTTTAATAAATTTTTTTATCGGATTATTATGACAATCTGCAGCACTGCAGTAACCAAACACATCTCCCGACGTTTTCAAAATGCACCACACCAAATAAGCTATCCAAACGGGCCATAATTCTCTTATTTTTTTTTTTTACGATGTGAGCTTTGTATTTCACATTTGCATTTTATTTAATTAATTCATATATACTAAAATAACATGTCAAATATGGCGAATAGATTTAATTTTATGTAGAAAATACTATTATGAATTTAATAAAATATGAATTTCATAAATCTTAATTTATCATATTTATTAATTCTATTTAAATTAAATCCTTGCTGTTGAGCTGCCTTCACCTCGAAGAAGAACGCTCGCCGGAGGCAACGGAAGAATCCTTCTCCTCCATGGATAGGGTTTGGGTTCTATTCGTCTTCCTCTTCCTTAACATAATTTTCTGTTCCAATGCAGAAATAAAGAAACCAAGGATCAAGAGCGACTCCCGCTCCATGATCCTATTGGAAAAGTTTGGCTACACGCAGCGCGGATTCGTCGAAATCACCGTCACCGACGTCTCCTTATCCTCCTCCTTATCTACCCCCGACCCGGCTCTTTTCGGCTTCTTTCTTCTATCTGAGGAGGATCTAGTCCAAGCCATTTTCGAATCCCAGCAGCAAAACCCCGGTTCCAATCCAAATTCTAATGGCAACATTGTTTGCGTTCTCTCCCGTCCATACATCCACTTGCTCTTCACCTTCCGTGATTTTTACAAATCCTCGCAGAATTCCTACAACACCCCTTTC